GAACTATAACCTTTATCGTAACATTTCAGGAAATCTCTCAGATAAAAGCTACAATATTTAAAGTTATCTCATTTTCAAACTACTTTTTTTTCCCTTGCTTTTCAAAAGTTTTACATCGGCCAATTAACTCCGTGTTTCTACGAACATACAAAAGTGTACCAATAATATACACGTATTGCTGGCATTAGTGCAAAAACGCAACTTTCGTGATCCGAGGAAGGACTACCGCTCCAGTTACAGCAGTTAATGTTACTAATAGCACTCAGCAGAGACTTTCAGGTACTGTACAATACTGTACCTTTGTCTGCTAATGTGTAAAACCATGCACGGTTATTCATGCCAACCGCCAGATGATATGGTCCGAGAGCTACGAAGTTTGGTTCCACTATGATATCCACACTCAGAGGTCGTTCCTTCATGCGAAAAAAAAATAGAAAGATTTTGTCAGTTGTTCAACTACTGTTGTCCACTTTTTAACTTTTGAGTCCCAGGCTTAGATTTGATTTTTTTTTTTTCAGCTAGTACGTTTTTCCTAGCAATATCAGCACATTGCCATGAGAAGTGATAAAAAAATTAACTGATTATATGTAACTAGTCAATCACATTCTTATGACTATTCAACAATTAGACCCGTTGCCCTTGATGGCGAACTAGTCGGACAGAAAAGGCAATAATAAAGTTAGCAAATGCAAGTTGAAGAAATATTTATTTGGGAATAAAACGAAAGAAAGTGTCACGCTCGATTGCGCCAATTTCGTTACTCGAGGACTAATACCAATAGTCCTCTAGTAGCGTAGCCAATTAAAATGCAGGATTTGCATTAGTCCACTAGTTGGGTGATATTAATAAACATTAAACATAATGAATGGGACTTAGTAACAAATGTTACTTTCTTAATACAGTGTGTATTTCAAAGTTTGGACTGTAGGAATTTCAACCTTTCTTCTTCAATCGGAACCGGGATAAGCTCCGCCAGCTATGAGCCAGCGGCTCCAAGGCTTCACTTTTTTTTGCTTTCTTCAATCGGAGGACTGAAAGTTCATTCCTTGTAGAAGTGACTTTCACAAACCAATATGCCATCACGTAATGGTCCTGACGAAATATTGCACACCAAATTTCACAACTATTGCTTCATGATGTAACTTCTCTTTCTTTACCTGCATCACGTTATCCACAATTGTCACCTATGTTTATAAAAACAAAAGCAATGAAGAAAAAAACATCAACAAAAAAGCAACATCAGTGATGAACACATATTGAATAAAATAAACGTACTTGTATAGTTTGTACTTTGTAGAGAACCGGAGATGTTTAATTTTCAATATTTGCTTCGTTTTTAAATATTAAATTTTGCCAAAATTGCTAAAATGTTCTTTAAAATCCATAAGAAAACTCTAAAAATCGACGACTTTTTAACACTACTCTACGTCATTATCAAGTCATCATGTACAATGGCGTCAGTTTCAGTAGTTCAGCACCTCTGCTAGACCTGTATTTTCATTGGTTCTGGTCACCTGTAGCTTCCATTGTTTCAAGAGATAGGGGCATTGTTTGGATCATATATGTATTGTTTCGTGAGCCAATAACAAACGGTGTTTGGCCAGCTACAGGGCAGCAGTTTGGGTGCGGCG